ACTGGGCCAAATGTTGGGGGGGAAAAAACCTCTTTCGGAAGCCCCCTTCTTCCTCATAGAACGAGGAGTATAGGGGCTCTTGAAAGAGCATGTTTGCTCTTCTGCAAAAAATAGCGGAAGAGCAAATGTGTTCCCTGGATGCGGTGGAGTTATTTCAGGATACCTCTGGTATCCCAACCCCTTTCCCCCGCAGTCTAGCTGTACCCCCAGTGAAACCAAGGGAAAGACTCCCATTGATTTTAATGGGACCTGAATCGGGGCCTATGGGATTTGAAAACTGCATCTCTATTATGACAATTCTCACCAAGCACCCTTTATTTTTAATGTGAAAGGTCTAATCTGATGAATTCATCAGTTCATGTATTGGAGACAAGTTTTTATTTCAGAAGGTAGAGAAAACTACTAGGGGAGAAGTTGTTCTAGATTTGATTTTAACAAATAGGGAGGAACTGGATGAGAATTTGGAAGTGGAAAGCAGCCTAGTTGAAAGTGATCATGAAGTAAAAATTCATGATTCTAAGGAATGGTGAAAGGGCGAACAGCAAAATAAAGACAATGAATTTAAAGAAAACAGACTTGAGCAAACTCAGGGAATTGGTAGGTAAGGTCCCATGGGACCTTGACTAAGAGGAAAAACAATTGAAGCCAGTTGGCATTTTTTCTAAAGAATGTTATTAAGAGTGCAAGAGCAAGCTATTCCACTAAGTAGAAGAGGGGAAATATGGCAAGAGACCACCCTCACTTCACCAGGAGTTCTTAAAAATGATCTAAAAATCAAAAAGGAGTCCTATTAAAAAGTGGAAGCTAGATCAAATGACAAAGGATGAATATAGAGAAATAACACACATGGAGCAAAACTAGAAAGGCAAAGGCACAAAATGAGCTCAAACTAGCTAGGGACAAAAAGGATGAGAAAACATTCTCCAAATATAAGCAAGAGGAAGACCAAGGACAGGGTAGGCCCCGTAGGCCCATTGCTCAGTGAAGAGAGAAAAACAATAATAGAAAATGTGGAAATCGCAGAGGTGTTCAGTGACTTCTTTGTTTCAGTTTTGAACAAGGTGAGTGGTCATTGGATGCTGAGCATAATGAATGCTAAAGAAAATTAAGTAGGTTTAGAAGTTAAAATAAGAAAAGAACAAGTTTAAAAATTACTCAGACAAGTTAGTGGTCTTCAAGTCACCAGGGCCTGATGAAATGCATCCTAGAATACTCGAGCTGAAAGAGGAGATATGAGCCATTTACCATAATCTTTGAAAAGTCACAGAAGACGGGAGAGATTCCAGAAGACTGGAAAATGGCAAATATAGTTCCCATCTATCAAAAGGGAAATAAGTACAACCCAGGAAACTACAGACCAGTCAGTTTAACTTCTCTGCCAGGAAAGATAATGGAGCAAATATTTTAAGGAATCCATTTGCAAACATCTGGAAAATAATAAGGTGATAAACGGTCAGCATGGATTTGTCAAGGACAAATCATGTCAAACCAACCTAATGGCTTTCTTTCACAGGGTAAGAAGCCTTGTGGATAGGTGGGTAACAGTGATGGTTATACCCAGGGCTCACCAAGCGGTTCGGCACGCTGTGCATGCGCAGACTGTGCTGCGCGGCTGTGCCAGCTTGTAATCTACTTGCCCATGTCGAGTACATTACACTAATTGTCGATCCCTGGTTATACCTAGTCTTTAGTAAGCATTTGATACAGTTTTGCATGACCTTCTTATAAATAAACTGGGAAAATACAACATATAGGGGACTTCTGTAAGGTGGGTGCAGAATTGATAGGATAACCATTCCCAGAGAGTAATTAACAATGGTTCATAGTAGAGATGTGAACAGGTAACTGGTTACCAAGTAAGCAACACTTTTAACAAGTGATGCTTACTGGGTAACAATTAACCACCAGGAGCAGCCCCTCAGGGGTTCGGAGTTGGCCCCTACATGAGGGGCTGGGAGCAGGAGTGGCGGGCCAGCTCCCGTTCTGGGATGTTGAAAGAGACACACAAGAGGAAGACATTTTTCTGCTCTACTCTGTGCTGATTAGGCTTCAGCTGGAGTACTGTGTCCAGCTCTGGGCACATTTCAGGAAAGATGTAGACAAATTGGAGAAGGTCTATAAAACATGACCTGTGAGGAAAGATTGAAAGAATTGGTTTTGTTTAGTTTGGGGGAAAAAAGAAGACAGAGAAGGGGCGTAACAGCTTTCAAGTACCTAAAAAGGGGTTACAAGGAGAGAGAAGAAAAATTGTTCTCCTTAACCTCTGAGAATAGGACAAGAAGCAATGGGCTTAAATTGCACCAAGGGAGAGTTAGGTTGGACATTAGGAAAAACTTCCTAACTGTCAGGGTGGTTAAGCACTGGAATAAATTACCTAAGGGTGTTGTGGAATCTCCACACTGGAGATTTTTAAGAGCTGGTTAGACGTCTATCAGGGATAGTCTGGTTTGTCCTACAATGCATGCAAGGGACTAGACTTGATGTCTTTTTGAGGTTCCCTCCAGTTCTAGTAATCTATGATTTTTGCAGAGTATTACGAAGAACACGATGAAAGATAAATCCCATCAGCAGTTTGCAGGGTGAGTAAGAATCCTATCCCATGCATTCACTCACTCTTGGGGCATCCGTGTGAGGGGAGGGGGGGGAACCTGACTTCTGGAGGAGAAGAGAGAAAATGTTTCGGGGAGCACAAGAGGAGGTGACGCTATCCAAATTTCTGGTTAGTTTTCTGATTTCATGTCAAGAAATAGCTGCCTCTGGTCATTCTTCAGTCCTATTAAATCGTTCTTAGGCCCTGCCATGTGTTGCCTTTAGCATACATCGGTGAGCGTCTAAGAACGTCCCTTGCATAGTTATTAGATGCATGTGGTATTTACTTACTGTAAGAGTCGCGGGTAAAATGCTTAGCTTTTAGGTATTGGCAATGGCAGGGAAATACGGAGAATACATTTTTTCAGAAGAGTGATTTTAGGTACGCAAAGCCAGTTTTCAGCTGTTACTTAGGAGCCTTTGTGATTTGAAAATAGATGTCTAAATCAGACAGGCACATTTACAGATTTTACCCATTGTCCTGAAGGTGAGTTCAGGCAGGGCTCTCCAGCAATCAGTGATTGGCTTTGTGGGTTGTAAACATTTAACTGGCTTCTCAGTTCCTCTCTAAAGGAATTGCCACATTGATTTGACCTGCTTTAACTTCTCATCAACAGTAATCAGAGCTATAAGGAGCATGAGAGACCACCCAAGCTAGGGCCTGTGTCTGTTTTATGTCATTCCTACAGAAGCTTCTACCTCTGTTTTCTAAATAGCTGCATGATTTCAATCCATGCTGTAGGACAATTCACACTTTCTGCTAGTGTGAGGGAAAGATGCAGCTGCCTAGAATAGTCCAGATCCAGCAACTCTCTGTGCCTCCCATCCCTACCATGTTTTTGGTTATTAATATAGTACAGCACATCTGAGCAGTAGCAGAACTGGCTTAATATACCACAGTACTGAACCATTGTAAGAGTGCAGCCAAATAAATCCAGCTTGAGTCACCAAGCTGACCTGGAAGATAATCCATGATGCTTTGGGGGAGTTACTACTGCCTGTGTAGAGACCATCTCTAGTTTGCTTTGTTTGGTTCACTCAGGAATTTCCATTCTAAGTCAGCTTATTGTGAGAAATAAATAAATAAAGCTTGCTGTGTTTGTCTGACCCACAAGTGCAAATTCAAGAGCAGAACAACAGAATCACATGTTTTATAGAGAGGAAAAATCCTCTTGGGAGGAGCATCCAGAGTCTACGATTAATTTCTAGAACACCCACGCCATTTGGGGAGGGGGCAAGTGACTGCTCCCTTTCTACAGTACGTTTTTTCCACTATCTACCGAGGCAAAAGAACCATTTTCATGTGCTGTGTAACATATAGATAGATGTAGGAGTTGCTCTGAGCTGGTTACATTAAATACATTGAAGAGTAGAAAGTGTTTTCACAGTGACTGGTCACATGCCTAACAATTTCCCTTTCGCCAAGGTGTAACCACTATCTGATGTTCCCCAAGCAAGGCACTAGCATAGTATCTTGCACTTGTAGAGTGTCTTCCGTCTGTGGAACTTACAGTATGTACAAGGGGTACATTTTGTTAATTCTCCATTTACAGATGAGGAAAATAGAGTAAGTATAGAAAGATGGATAGAGCCACTTGCCTGGGATTTTGGAAATGCAGGTTTAACTCTGTCCCACTAGCCTGCTGTGTGACTTCAGGCAAGTCACTTAGTTTCCTGGTGTCTCAATGCATAATGTGTAGAATGGCATTTCCATGCCTCGGGGCGGAGGAGGGTGTTATGAGGATAAGTGCACTGGACTGCAGGGTGCTCAGATAAATACCTTAGAAATAAATGCTGAGAGAAGTGCGTTGACCAAGATCTGACAGCAGGTCAATGGCAGAGCCAGGAATAGAACTGAGTCCCTCTTACTGTGGACTTCTTCCAACTCTTCCAGGGTATGTCTGCGATACCACCACAAGAAGGGTCGCACGGGAAACAGCGGAAGACACAGGTAAAGGCCGTGGTTTGACAGATGATGGGTGTGGGGCAGGCTCCACACACTGGAGGGAGAGATTCTGGTAGAGGCAAATGGTGGATTCACATGGACCTAGGTTTAGAAACGAAAGAATAAATAATATAGCTAATAGTATCAAATTCACACAAGAAAAACAAACCTGACACACAGACTGTGCCTAAGAAGGAGGCTTCCAACAACAGAAGAGCTCAGACAATGGTTTATTGTTATAGCACAGGGTCTCTGGGGGTATGTCTTCACTACCACCCTAGTTCGAACTAGGGTGGTAGTGAAGACATACCCCCAGAGACCCTGTGCTATAACAATAAACCATTGTCTGAGCTCTTCTGTTGTTGGAAGCCTCCTTCTTAGGCACAGTCTGTGTGTCAGGTTTGTTTTTCTTGTGTGAATTTGATACTATTAGCTATATTATTTATTCTTTCGTTTCTAAACCTAGGTCCATGTGAATCCACCATTTGCCTCTACCAGAATCTCTCCCTCCAGTGTGTGGAGCCTGCCCCACACCCATCATCTGTCAAACCACGGCCTTTACCTGTGTCTTCCGCTGTTTCCCGTGCGACCCTTCTTGCGGGAGCGCCTCCTGGGCTACCCCAGAGTTCACACAGCATTCAGTGGCTCCAATGGTGAAGATGACGAGGTCCAAGACTTTCCAGGCATATCTGCCTTCATGCCACAGAACCTATAGCTGCATTCACTGCAGGGCTCATCTTGCCAATCATGATGAACTCATTTCCAAGGTACGTGCAAGAACCTCACCCTGCACAGTTTCAGGGTGAGCCCCCCAGGGAGAAGACGTCTCTAATGTAATCTGAGAAATGTCCTGGGATTGCTGCCCAATTAAGCTCCTTTCTCATTGCTTGTGGAGATGTCTGGATTATTGGCGTTGCAATTTGGGCTTTGAAAACGGATCTCACTGTGATGGCTCTTGCAACTCGGTCTGTCTTTCTGGTTTCATGTGATCAATAAACTAGCTTTAGGGCACAGGTTCTCAAACTCTGGCCTGTGGAACACTTGCTGATGATCTGTGGAGAGCTCATGTTTCATCTCACGACAGTGGCTCTTTTCCCTTTTGTTTCTTGCAGCAAAACTGGAGTAACAGATGGCTAGAAATACACCAAAACTCATCCTGATACTGCTTTTCCATGTAAGCACTTGCTAAAGTGCCCACAGGGATGTTGTGAATTGATGGGGAGGTCTCCACAAAACACTCTACTAAAATGTGGCCCTCACCATGGAAAGGTTTGGGTGGCCTCTGCTTTAAAGGAATTCCACTCTGGCTTGTTTTGAAATGTCAAGTAGCCCCTCAAAGACTTGAAGAATTTGTGCTCAAGTCACGGTAGCGTTGTAGGCATGTTAGGAAGACGCCATGCAAGCATGGCTGTTAGAAGTGGAAATGGAAAAGCCATGGGATGTGACAGGGTGTCACTAAATCATTACTACTTATACTTTGGTCTGTGAGTCATCCTGATGAAGGGTCCTGAGAGCTGAATTCGGGGAGGGGGAGAGAATCAAGCAATAGGAAAGCCACATGATGTGTGGTGGAAATGGGCCCACAGAGATCCCTTTCTAAAGTGTAAAAACTGCTGCTAGCCCTTTGCAGAATGGCTGTCAACCCATTGTGCATTGCTGGTGCTAGGTGTCCAGTTTCCAAGTCTTGGCTGCCTTGGCAGCCAAGCATTCCATAGAGTTTATTCAGCTCATAAAGTTTGGGTTCAGAAAAAAGTAGACACAACATGAGATTTATTAGCTGAGATGGGAGGAAATTGCAGCATGGGTTCTCAGCAGGACCGTAAATCAGGTCAGCCACTCGGATCAAGGCAGTCTTGAGAAACGGGCAGACCTGGATCTCCTGGTGTGTAGATGCTTTGCATCCTAGGTTTAGAATGCCAGAAAGTCCACAGTATCCACTTGTTACCCATGTGCTTAGAAAGGCTTAGGATGCATTAATTTGTACTGAGTGGGTCAGTCCCTAGTGTGTCAAAATGCTTGACCGTCGTGGAACTCTGTCTGGGTTCTGGTTGATGCTCGGATAGGCACTGTTGTGAAAAATGCCTCCTTACTTCTGAAATGGGCTAGATGAGAATTCCCCCTCCCTCATTCTGCTGGATGTTTAGTGGTCCACCCATCATGCTCCATGCCCTTGTGACATGATCTCCCAGCTGGATGACTGCCTAGGAAGGAATATTGCAGAAAGGGATCTGGGTGTCCTAATAGAGCACAAGCTAAATATGAGTCAACAGCGTGACACTATTGCAAAAAAAAAAAAAAAAAAAAGGCATGCATCATAGTTGGATATATTAGCAGGAGTGTTGTAAGAAAGAAATGAAAAATAATTCTGTTCTCCTCTGCACTAATTAGGTCTCAACTGCAGTATTGTGTCCAGTTCTGGGCACGTTTCAGGCAAGATGTGGACAAATTGGAAAATGTCCAAAGAGCAACAAATGGTCTAGAAAACATGACCTGTAAGGGAAGATTGAAAGAATTGTGTTTGCTTAGTTCAGAAAAGAGAAGGCTACTAAGAGGGGACTTAATAGGAGCTTTCAAGTAGCTAAAAGGTTCTTTCATGGAAGAGGAGGAAACATTCTTCTCCTTAACCTCTGATGATAGAACAAGAAGCAATGGGCTTAAATGGCAGGGCGGATATTAGGAAAAACTTCCTGTCAGGGTGGTTAAGCTCTGAAATACATTACCTAGGGAGGTTGTGGAATCTCCATCATTGGAGATTTTTAAGAGCAGGTTAAACACCTCTCACCTATAGTCTATATCAGGCCTGGGCAAAGTATGGCCCATGGGCTGGATCCAGGTGTTGGGCAGCAGTGTTCCCTCTAAGGCAGGACTACTCCACTTTGGAAGCCCTGCGGGCCACAATGACACTCACAGCACATGCCGAGGGCCGCAACTTAAGTGTGCTTGCATATACATACAAATATATATGCAAATATCATTATTCACACTTACGGGCATGGGTATAAAGATTAAGGCACAACTATACAACACAAAGGCCCCAGTTAAGTCAGTTCTGCTGATATTAATAAAGTGCAACATTTACCTGATTTCCACCCATATGACAGCACTTGTAATGAGCAATGACAGTCTAGGAATTTAACTACTAAAATGCATCTCAGCAGACCATTATATTGATTACCTTTTTGTTTGGACTCCCATGCGCAGGCCATATGTTGAGCCCCGTGTAAACCCAAACCACACCATGGGCTGCAAACAAACGGGCCACTTGCAGCCCATGGGCCACGTGTTGAATAGCTCTGCTCTGAGGTGTGTGGCAGCACAGCTTCACAGGTGATTAGTCAGCCCCAACCACTCCAGAGGCTCATGGCTCCATACAGTGAGTTAACTGACTGGGCAGGACTGATTAATTACCTGTGAAGCTGTGCTGCTGCACAGTTTGGAGGGAACACTGGAAGGCAGGAAGGCTGATTCAGGAACAGCTGCTGGCTGGTAAGTCTCCTGGCCAGAGCCTGTCTCTGGCACTCCAGTCCCTCTCTTTCCCCAACCCTCTACCCTCCTCTCTTCCCCCCCCCCCCCCCCCCCCCCCCCCCCCCCCCCCCCCCCCCCCCCCCTCT